GTAGTGGTTAAGGCACCAGGCTAGGTGACCTTGGGTTAGTCACGTTCTCTCTGCCCTAGAAAGGAGTCAATGGAAAACCACTTCTGAAAAACCTTGTCAAGAAAACTGCAGAGACTTTGTCCAGGCAGTCTCTGAGAATCAGGCACAATCAAACAGAAGAAAAAGAAACTTTTTTTTATTAAACTTCTGTTGTTTTAATTCCTTGCCTTGTTTTACTGGATTGCATTGTATTGGTTATTTCTTGGTCCCTGGTTGTAAATAAAGCATAATTGTTCGATTGTCACAGCTGTAATGAGCGGTATGTCATCAGAACCTTGAAAAACACAAACTGGCTCCAAATATATCTTTAAATTAGTAGTTACTTTATTAGAAAACACAAAACAGCAAAGAGAAATTAGAATCAGTCTTGGGTTAAGTAGAAAAAAAGGAGATTGAATTCAAAGGACTTATCTGTACTGCCAGGTTGCCTGCTAAGGACCATCAGCTATTTCTGAAGGGCAAGACTGGGTGATGTCTTCTTGCCCTCAGCCCCCTATGAATGCAACCCCAGCCTATGTTGTCTGTATTCAGCCTGTATTGTCATGCTCTAAGTAAGAGGTCCCGATCTTTTTGGGCACCAGGGACCAGTTACGTGGAGAGAGGTTTTGTGTGCTGCCTACATCCCATGGATGGGACTTTGCTTGTTTGTGTGGACCAGTTGCTGGAATGCCGCAGCCCGGTACCAGTCCACGGACTGAGGGTTGGGGACCCCTGTTCTAAGTTATAAACTATTGTTTTTGGGCTTCTTTTATCTTAAGCATTGATGTCCCATTGGCCAGCTGGGCTTTAATTTGTTTCCTAGGCAACCTCCTGCAGTTTAATTGATTCCTGCACAGAAGTAGGAAGGCCTCTTCATCCAGTTTTCTCAGCTTTGCTTCAAGAAGATCTGCAGTAGCCTCTGAGATTACACTCAGGCATTGAACTCAATCATAATAAAGTAAAAACTCTAATACAATCTATCAATTACTTAATTGTGTTTTAATTTGCCATGTAGTCTATGCATTATTTATGTAGTATTTAATTATAGCTTTTTTTCTCTGTCCACACCCCACACCTCTGAACCTCCTATTTCAATCCCAGTTGGCCTGTCTCAGTCTGCCCTGGTTCCAGGTCCTTCTCTGTCTTAACTGCCCACTGGATTCTCATCACGAATCTGGATTATAACTAGACAGCACATGATTCTGCTGCCTCGGATGCTGCTGGAGATTGCAAGTCTCTGCTCAACCTGAATTTGCTAGTTCTGTCTCTTTCTTGGAGGAAGAAGAAAAAATTAACAACTGAGTCACAAGAATCAGAATGAATGAGGTAGATAACACTCCTAGCTTTCTACACCAGACATGTCAAACTTGCAACATCACGTGATGTCGTGCAACATATCGGGACAGTTTTGCCATTGCCAGCAATGGGGTGGATGCGGCTTCTGTGTGACGCCTCCAGCCCATGGGCCGGCAATTTGACACTCCTGTTCTACACGGTCATGCATTGGCGTAAAAAAACCTGCCAACAATCTTTGAAGAAATCTTGTTCACTGCTGTGAACATCATCAGGTGTAAACTGATGTGATGAGTCTGTTCTTGTTTGGATTACATCTTGGGAGACTTGGCTACATTTGTAGCTCTTACCTTCTAATCAGTATTCTAGGCAAGCTGTTTTCCTTTATACCAAAAATGGGATAACTGCAGCCTACAAATTATGGTACTTAACAGCAAAATGGCTGAATTTTAACAGCATGCTTTTTTGGGGGGGGGAGAGGGATTTGTCAGGGCCAAAGCTCAAAGATGGCACAGCGAAAACCGCTCAAGTTCAATCTTTTTTTTTTTTTTTTTGCTAACACTTAGTGGACAGAATCTTGCCAGAGTAAAGCTATAACCTTCTAACTTACTAAATATACCCCGAGAGATTGTAGGATGTGGCTAGAAGATTCTCTCCTCCCCCCTCCAGCCCAGGACTTTGCAGTTTCTTAATCTGGACCTCTTTCTGAGAAAGCCAAAAATGTTGCCAAAAGTCTTCTCTACTGCTCTCCCAGATGCATGTTCCATCGGGTTTTCTTGTAAAATTAAGAATGGGAATTGAAGGGCCAGGCTTCTGGGAGGACAATCATTTCTATCCCCACAACAAAATCCTCCAAATTTCAACAAAACATCCTCAAGTTGGCTCTTCAAACTTTGATTTTTAGATTTGATCTATTTATTATATTATATTTTGGAACTGCCCATCTCCCTCACAGAGGGTCTAGATTGATTTTAGGAGTATCCAGGAGAATTTTAAATATAGGAATCCAAGTTTCAGGTAATCCTTGACTTATGACCCTTTGTTTAACAACCCTTTGAACTTACAATGCTGTTGAAAAAGTGACTGATGACCAATTCTTGCACTTATAACAGTTGATGCAATCCTGTGATCACATGATCAGAATTTGAGCACTTGGCAACCAGCATGTATTTATGATGATTGCAGTGTGATGGGCTCACATGATCACCATTGACCTTCCTAGGAGGCTTCTGACAAGCAAAGTCAATGGAAGAAGCCAGATTCACATCACATAATGATGATTGTGAGTCACATAACAACCATGGCAAAAGTGTTTGTAAAATCAAGCACAACCCATTTAATGACTGGATGGCTTAGCAACAGAAGTTCTTGTCCTAGCTGTGGTCATAAGTTGAGGACTACCTATTATCCTAATGTTTTTAGTCAGTCCAAAGAAAAGAGATGTATAGCTTAATCATCTCTATATATTTTAATTCATTTGTGAATGAAGATATGCAACATAAGGCCAGGTAAATATTGTCTTTTTAAAAAACTTTACTTTAAAAACATATATACTATACACAGTATATATAACATATACTATATACATGTTTATGGATTGAGAAAGTTGTTATACCAGTGCAATAAAGCAGTAATTCCACTAGATGTCCTCAAAGTGTAAAAAGACTATACAGAAGTGTAAATGCACTTTGCCAAACCTACCCGGCATTTGATTCAATTCAGTGTCAAGGGCTAAATTTTACACATACTAGTTATGTATCACAGTATTCCCATTCAGTAGTGTAAATATGCCAGAGATATATAAGGGAGCTAATTTTGTCATATAAAATCTTTAGTATATGAGGGTGGAGGTTCGTTCTTCAAGCTTGTGGGTTGGTTTCCAAACATTTCATTACCAGACTAGGTAACATCTTCAACAGAGTTTAGGGCAGGGGTGTCAAACTGCTGGACCACGGGCCGGATGCGTCATGCAGAAGCCGCACCCACCCTATTGCTGGCAATGGCAAAACAGTCCTGATATGTTGCGCGACGTCATGTGATGTCGTGAGTTTGACATGTCTGGTTTAGGGGATGTCATTGTTCCTCTGTTTATAGGGCTTTGTGTGGTCAATGATGGGTCTTGTGATGGGTTAGGTATGGGTTAGGTATGGGTCATGTCAGGTAAGGTATGGGTCATGTCAGGTAAGGGTCATTGGGAGGTGAAGTTCTGCATTTCACCTCCCAATGACCCACATTTGATGAGACCTCCCCATTACAAGACCCTCAGTTGATGATCCCACACGTGACTCATCACAAGACCCATCACAAGACCTACTGACCACACAAAACCCTTATAAACAGAGGAACACTAAACTCCAGCAGATGTTACCTAACCTGGTAATGAAATGTTTGGAAACCAACCCACAAGCTTGGAGAATGAAATCCTGAATGAGCTACAGATATTTGCCACCATTGCAATTTAGTATATTTTGAATGGTACTGGGCATATCACAGAAACTAAAACACTCTTGCCCCCTTTCCCCATCCTTCAGCAACATAATCATACTAGGTTGCAGTTTGGAGAGTTGTGTTTCAACATGACTGGAGGGCAACAGGTTGGAGATGGTGATTATAGATGTATGTTACATAGTAACTTGATCAATCTGATCAGTTCCTTCATAGGCCACTGCTGAGAAACTTGACCTCTACTACTCAACCTAGCATTTTTGTAGACATGTTAAATTTTATGTTTACTGGGAGCACAAACCTCAACTATTGAAACAACTTTAATTTCAAATTTGTCAAGAATAGTCATTTCATAGCATAATGCCTTGAGTTACACAGGCAAATGGTTTTGTCTGTGATATAAAAGGATCATGGAATTGCTTCTGGAATGTTAGAAGATATTTGAATTGTTTTGAGAAGGCATTTTCATTGACTATCAAAATAATTTGTTACACTATAGTATATATTCTACTGCCAGTGAAAACATCTTGAGAAAAGTAGACACAGAAATCTGCAAGAAATACAATAATACAATGCAATAATTGCATTGAACTATAAGAAGAAAAATATTTCTCAACAGGCTGTGAACTTCATTGCTATCAAATCATGTATCTTTCCAATCTATGTGTTGTAAATATGTTTAAAGAAATTAATTTAAACTAACTCTCAAATCATATGAGTTTAAGAGTGTTAGAAGAGTGTGAACATTGCTAGTTTCAGTGAGATGGTAGTTTTACATAACAGTTTCTTCCTTGTCTCCTCACCATCAATTGGAGGAGGAAATTAGTCACCAAAAATCAGGGATGTACCGACTATTCCCATTTATACCAATATAATTAGTATATCATGTGATTTATCTTTTCTTGAGTTTTTTATGTAGAACTGATGTAATAAGTTGTTGGGTTGGGACTGGAGAGACACAAGTGTGAAGTCCCACACAACTGTAAAATTTAGTAAATACCTTTGGGCCAGTCACTTTTTCAACCCAACCCATCTCCTGGGATTACTGTGGGATAAAATTAAGGGGAATATCCTCACATAAACTATTTCAAGCTGTGGGAGAAAATGCCACACATAAGTACAAAAAGTAATAAGTAAATAAGCGTCATTTGACGTGTTTGCTTGCAGGGAAGGTTAAAAATTAATTGTAGGCTTGCTGCATTTTCTTTTTAATTTATTTGACCAGTTATGTTATTTTTGAACAGGTCTCCACATTCTCACGTGGAATGAAGTTTTCAAAAGCACATGCAGACAACCTTGTAGGAAAAAGGAAGAACAGAAGGCAACAATACCCCATTGTCAGTCTTGAAAACAAATACTACAGAATGCATAAAGTACACTTAAGTCACTTCTGCTGTGTGATGGAACATGAGTGGCAACTAGTTACCCAATATTTGTGGAGGGCTGCATGAAGTCTCTATGAAATCATGGAGAACTCTTCCAGTGGGCTTTCTGTTGTGAATGGCAGGAAGAAAATGATCTGCTTAACCAAGTAAACATCTGATTACAGGTAATCCTTGATTTACAATACTTCATTTAATGACCATTTGAAGTTACAATGGCACTGAAAAAAGTGATTTATGATCATTTTTCAGTTACTACTGTTGCAGCATCTCCATGATCACAAGATTCAAATTCAGATGCTTGGCAACTGGCATGTATTTATAATGGTTGCAATATCCAGTGATCACCTTTTATGACCTCTTGACAAGCAAAGTCATTGCGGAAGCAAAATTCACTTAACAACCATGTCACTAAATTAAAAACTAAAGTGATTTACTTAGCAACTGTGCCAAGGGGGTTGTAAAATAGGGAAAAATTCAGTTAACAACTGTATCACTTAGCAACAGAAATTTTGGGCTCAATTGTGGTCATAAGTTGAGGACTACCTGCACCTGTTTCTCATAATTAATAGGAACAGAAATCCAGCGATATGCAGTAACTATTATGAAGAAAGGAAATGTGGCAGCAAGGTATGTGTGTGTGTGAGTGTGTGTGTGTGTGTGTGTGTGTAAGAGAGAGAGAGGGGGGGGGAGGGAGGGGGAGAGAGAGAGAGAGAGAGAGAGAGAGAGAGAGAGAGAGAGAGAGAGAGAGAGACTCTATGAAATGTTCACACTAGTTTGTAGACCCAAGTCAACAAACCTATTCAATTCTCAGTATCAAAACAATTCTTTGTCCATTATTTAAATTGGAAAGTGTGTTTGCCTTAACCATAATATATCTCAGTAATGATTTGCTGGATGAATTTTGATTTAATTTTTTTAAAAAATCCATGTAATTTCCAGTTCCTACTTGAGAACTGATAAAATGTGCCTTTGCCTCATACAACAAAACTGATCTTAGAACATAGACCACAGGTCGGCACCCTGCGGCTCCGGAGCCGCATGCGGCTCTTTGAGCCTTCCCCTGTGGCTCCCAGCCTCCTCTGTCTTTGCAGAGAGGAGAGACAGAGAGAGGCAATTGCGCTTCCCTGCTTCAATCTGTCTGTCTGTCTGTCTGTCTGTCTGTGTGTGTGTGTGTGTGTGTGTGTGTGTGTGTGTGTGTGTGTGTGTGTGTGTGTGTAAAAGAGAGTGTACTCACATGTTCTCCGAGGAGCTGAAAAGCTTTCTGGACGGAGCTCCTCCCTTTGCTGCGTCTCTGCAGGAAGCAGGAAGCAGGAAGGGCAGGAGAGAGCTAGCTAGCCCAGCTAGGCTGACTCAGGAATTCTGGGAGTTGAAGTCCATGAGTCATAAAAGAAACGAGGTTGCCTACCCCTGATCTTGTTGGACAACAGCTTGAAGCTTGCCAGGTGAGCAGCAGATAGGAGAGGTGGGGAGAAAGAGAGAGAGAGAAAGAGAGAGAGGGAGGGAGAGAGGAGAGAGAGAGAGAGAGAGAGAGAAAGAAATAGAGTGGGGGAAGAGGAGTGGTAGACCAAGGGCAGATAGAGAGGGAGGGAGAGAGACAGAGAGAGAGAGAGACCCTCTTGACATCTAAAATGAAGATAACACTGCATATATCCTTTTTTTAACCTGTGTGTGTATGTGTGTGTGTGTGTGTGTGTATACACATACATACATGCATACATACATATACATATACACACACACACACACACAAATACCCCCCCACACACAAACACACACACCTATAATAAAGGTAAAAAAGGATATATGCAGTGTTATCTTCATTTTAGATATCAAAAGGGTTTTGCGGCTCCCAGTGTTTTGTTTTTGGTGGGAAACAGGTCCAAGTGGCTCTTTAAGTGTTTTGGGTTGCCTACCCCTGACATAGACCATAGAATAACAGAGATGGAAGAGACATTGGAGGTCTTCTAGTCCAACCCCCTGCTCAAGCAGGAGAGTCTTCTATACCATTTCAAGACAAATGGTTGTCCAAAGTCTTTTTGAAAGCCTCCAGTGATGGAGCACCCACAACTTCTGAAGGCAAGCTATTCCACTGGTTGATTGCTATCACGGTTAAGAATTTTAATCTTAATTGTTCTAGCTTGCTTCTCTCCTTGGTTTGTTTTCATCCATTGTTTCTTGTCTTGCCTTTTGGTGCTTTGAAAAATAGTTTAACCCCCTCATCTTTGTAGGAACCCCTCAAATTCTTTGGTATCTAAGGAAAAATGCCACATCAACTGCAACTACTAGTCCTTTCTCCTGTTTTTATGAATTTCTTCACAGTCTGCAAAAGAGGCATTGTTTGTCTACTTCTGTTGTAGGTAGCCAGGAGAGAATTGCAAAATAAAACTCAAAAGGGGGGTGGGGATGTTCTAGCCATATGAAGTAAAAGATTATTATCACAAACTGAGGAGAAGCTATATTAAGTGTACAAGGTGGTAAAGGATTTGGCTCTTTAATAAATTTTCCCTGGCTACATTGCAGAGAAGTCAAGTGTGTGCCAGAACACAAGTGTGTGTGCATGTGAGGAAAACCGTCTGCCACTGCAAGGATATTTAGGAGATTAAAAAAAAAAGACTGAAATGTTATCAACCACATTACTGGAGACAAAAGATTAAGTCGTAAATGTTTCAAACCTTCCTAAACAATAGCATAGCTGGATGTAGTATTAAAAATCTTTTCTATATAGAACAAATAATATTAGGTGAAGTTACTTAAATTAACATTTGATAATATTTGGCCATAGAATTGGAAGGTAATCTATTCTATTATCCACAGAGATGTCTTAATAATGAAGTATCATAGTAAATAGATAAGTTTAGTATTCCCTGTTCCAGAACTGTAGCAATCTGTTCTTTTCTCCTCCCATCTGCTATAGTGCTTGAGACTTAAATTAATCTGAATGTTTTTTTCTTACAGAACTCTCCCTCAGAAACTTAAAGAAACTAAGCTTATATTAAGAATATAATTATTGGTACTCAAGGGCTTTGTCACTGTGGAAAAGAAAGGTGAGAAAAGAAAGACTTTTGCAAAGCTATCATATGTGGAAAAAATAGATGGATCCTGATTAATAATAAAAAATCTGTGCATGTTTCCCTATAATTATTACTAACCTGTGAACATCTACACCTAGCAACTCTGACAATGCAAACAGCAAGGAAAGCCATTTATCAGGATAGGATGCAATACAGGAAGTCCTTGACTTACAACCATTTGTTTAGTGATAGTTCAAAGTTACAACAAATCACTTTTGACTGTTTTTCACACTTACCACCATTGCAGCATCCCCATGGTAACATGATCAAAATTTGGGTGCTTGGCAACTGACTCATATTTATGATGGTTGCAGTGTTCTGGGGTCCTTCTGACAAGCAAAGTCAATGGGGAAGCCAGGTACATTTAAAAACCATGTTACTAGCATAATAAGTGCAGTGATTCACTTAACAGCTGTGGCAAGAAAGGTCGTAAAATGAGGCAAAACTCACTTTGCTTAGCAACAGCAATTTTAAGCTCAATTGTGGTGGTAAGTCGAGGACTACCTGTATATTTATTTTTAAAGTTAGAAGACAATGGCATATATTAGCATTATGCCAATGTATCTTGCAAATATTGAATCTACTATAACCATGTTTGTACAGGATATTTTTTTTTAACTTGTATTCAGTCCATCTGCTTTTTGATTGTATGTATGGGGTTGAGGATAGATATTTAATTTTCCTAATTACATGTCAGACTTTACACTAGGCATTCAATAAAACTTGATTCTCCAGGCACTCAAACCCATATCAGAAAGTTGCTTACAGTACACAAAAACTTCACAAGCAGAATACAGCTAGATAAATTGTGTTATTACAGACAAAAATAAAAGAAAATCATATACTAATTATCACAGAACACAGAAATCAAGCCCTACACATACAATTGCTCCAAGATACAAATTCTAGGCTCTTTCCTCCTGCCTTTTCAAGTCAACTAACTTTGGACACTTCTTGAGAATAAGAAACAGATGCTTTATGTTTATATAATGATTTTCTCTGGCCTCAGAATCATTGGTTCCTGCCTTGCAGCTTCAATCTCTATATTAGACTAGCCTTTCTTAACCTTTTTTTTTTTAACCTTAGAGAAAGCCTTGAATTAATTTTCAGGTCTTGGAGAACCCACCCTAAAAATTGTTATTTCTACAGCTCTTGGTATATTAGTACTGATAAGATCGGTAACTTACAGATATAATAATATGAAAACTTTAGAATACTATTCACTTCTAGCCTATAAAACCTATGTTTTTCTAATGTTTACAATGACAACCAAGTGTCAGGCACAGCATGTACAAATTCCAACCACAGCAAGTATTACACTACTGCTGGTCAGCACACACAGTTTTTTCTCAGTCACAATCTCTGGCAGAATCCTAGCAACCTCTCTGCAGAACCCCAGCTGAAAAAGACTACATTGGACAATAACAACATTGTTAGTATATATTCTTCCAGTTGTGGCTAAAATTTGATAATCAACAAGCCTTGAGAATAAGTGGGGACTATAAAGCAAGTTGCTGTAATAGGTTAAAGTTTAGGAGAGGAGGAATAATTCAGATTATTTTTTTTCTTGTTTACATATTTTAAGATCTGATAGTGAAGACTGATTGTCTTTTTTTGAAATATGTCCCTGTGTCATTTCTTCTGTCTTGTGGGCTTGTATTGTTTTAGATATTGTCAATTATTAAAGTGCTAATTTTGCCTTTAAGTTGATAACATCCAGTGGCAATTGCAAGCTGGACATATCTTGTACTATAGTCAGGCAGGTTACCTGTAGAGGATAACATCAACAAGGGGCTTACTGTACAAGCCATTTCAAACTTAGTAGATCCTGAGCTGTCTGTCTCATTCTATTCAGTTTTTCCCTTGAAAGAGCTGGACACAGTTTAGTATGTGAAATCCCTTTGAGGAAAGAATTAAGATATACTTTCTTAGTTGTGCAGAATGGGTGGTCTAACTGCAAACTGCTTTTTGCAGTTAATAAGATCTGGAGAGCAGGAGAAATAGCTTAGTTTCTCACAGGAAGATTCTTCCAAAAGAGAAGGCTATTGAGGTGATCAATAAGAGAGATTGTTTTTTTAAAAAGTTCACTAGGAAGAATTTTTGGAACTGGAAGAAGATGCAATGGCAGGCAATCCAAGATGGATCTATACAGTACAGTACAGTCTGTTGAATAATAATTATTGGTTTTAGTTCAGAGCAACATAAGCTAATGGTCTTGAGCTGGACTGGGCAGTGCTATATTTTTTGGTTCAAGTGGGGACTGAAGTCTCCTAAAAAGGAGCTGAATGAGATCTGGAGAAGTTTGTCTACTCTTTGCAGAAGGCCTCTGGGGAGGCTAAAATGATAGAAGATATGAAATCCTGTTGACCAAAGAGAAGCCTCAGCCAGCTTGTAAGAGGCAATGCTGGCCACTATATTTAGCTTCTTTTTTTTTTTTAACCTCAAAATAGAAAGTAGATAAGGTATTTAGAAATAGGGCAGTTTACATATACATTAAGCCAGTATTATGGGATGCTTAACACACAGGCAGAATACACTTAGGCTGCACAATATCACCTATTCTCCGTGAGCTGCACTGGCTTCCTGTGGGTCTCTGGATGCAATTCAGGGTGTTGGCTTAGGACCAGGTTACTTACAGGACCGCAAACTGCCGCATAGTTCCCAGAGACCGGTGAGGTCCCACAGATTGGGCCTCCTTCAGGTCCCGTCGGTCAGACAATGTCGGCTGTCGGGCCCTCGGGGAAGGGCCTTTTCTGTGGTGGCTCCGACGTGGTGGAATCAACTTCCCCCTGAGATTCGAACTACTCCCACCTTGCCGGCCTTCAAGAAAGCTATTAAAACTCTCCTGTTCCGGCAGGTCTGGGGTTGATGTCCCCGGGGGGGCTGGGATTCGATTGGGACATGCTGTGTGAATGTATTCATTTTTAATTTTTATACTTGTTGTAATTTTGTACGCCGCCCTGAGTCCATAGAAATTGGGCGGCATATAAATTTTACTAATAAATAAATAAATAATAAATAAATAAAAGTGGAAAGCATCTATTTTACAATGAATTTTAAAATTCAATCCATGGCAGCTGTTGTTCAGGCAGAGAATGGAACATAGTTATCTAGCTGCAAATAACGCTTGCCAATAAAAGCTGTGAAATGTAAATGCTGTTTGATATCTTTTTTAAAAAATCTCATTCTGATTTGTATAAAACCCTGGAAAACCCAAGCAGTCCCGTGATGTGAAGCTTTCTTTCATTTTGTCAAAATTCATGCTAGGACTCAGCAATAAATCATACATCTTCAAACATTTAATCCTTAATTCTGCTTTCAGCTAGGCTTGGCAGAAGGTTTCCAGACATGACTTAGCTCAGGATCTTTCCTGCAGATGAGAATGAAACCTTAATGCAGCCATTGATTGCTTACTGCAGAACAAGAATATCCATGATCTAGTCTTTCTTCCTCCCATCTTTCTAAGTTAATGGATATTTGGTAATTTACTTGACGGCTTTGGGTAGTTGAAGTATGTTTACGGAATGGTTCTCCCTAGTCTGGGAACAACTGATTCGTTCCTTGCCAGCCTATGCTGTCTATGCTTCCAGTTGTATTTTTACATTTTAGAAAGCGGCGCAGAGGGCAGCACATGGAGTTGGCACTTCCACAGATGCCTCTGTTGTTTATGAAAGACTGGCAAGGAGCCACTGCTGCATAAAGCAGATTTGTGCGGTTGCAGAATTACATAAGAGTACTTGAGCTACACTCTGCTCTTAAGTGCACTCTTTGTATGTTCATGCAGTTGTGTATATCCATGTGCAGCTTGGCTCCCTTTTCATCTCTCAGAGGTTGATATTTATTGGTCAAGAGAAAGTGCACAGAAGCACCTTATGCTAGTGAAATCTGAAGAAGGGGAAGAGACTTTTCTGTTGACTATATTACAATTCAGCAGTTGGGAAAGACTCTTAAAATAGTTCCTGTGAAATTAATTACTTAATTAGGATTTAAAAAATTCCAGTGGTTTCAAGAATTGTATTGTTGTTTCAAATTGCTTTAACACTCATGTTAATTAAGGATTTATTTACTCCTGTATTTGAAAAGTTGAGGTCCCGCCAGTAGAAATCAGAATTTCAAATCTTGATATTCCATGGAGAAAGTTTTAGGTAGATTTTTAATATATTCAGATTTACATATAGCACCAAATCATCTTATCTTCAGATCAAAATAGTGTTTCTAGTTGTGTCCCCAGTTCCTGTTTTATTGCCAATCAACATGATAATAAACTTAGAAGAACAGGCTGGGCAGAACAGAATCCCAGTAATGTGTTTGACTTTTGCCATTATTCTTGTAGCTTCTGCTATTATTGTTAGTCTTTTTGTTTGAATCGAAATCATTGTGAACAATGGGATTGTTTGGCTTGAGTAGAGGAAGGAACAGAAAATGCTGGCCCCTTTCCAATGAATTCCATGAATGAAGTTTTTTCCATCCCAGCAGGAATAAAACCATTTGAGACTATTGAAATGATACCATTTTACTAAAGCATTCATTACTAATGAATCAGAAGAACAAGATTGTTTGGTACACATACGGGCTTCAAGCGTGGGTTCTAAAGATAAAACGTAGCCTGTTTGTACTCTGATGTAGATTTTTTTATTCATGATTTGTTAAACAAGGCAAAATATTTAGCATTTCCTCCTCTGATTTTTCCTTGCAACACTTTTGAGACATGTTGGTTTGAGAAATAGGATGATTTGAGGCCGGTGGAATGAATATACAGAATGCCTTGGAGGTCAGAGGAAAGATTCATTACCAAGACAATAATCAGATAAATGAGACTTGAGCCCAGACCAAGAAAGTGGTCTGTGGACATGCCTAAGACAGCATCTTCGCTCACACAAACGTACACAAAGATAAAAGAATGAAAAAGAGAAGCACATTCAGATTTGAGAGATTCTGTTAATACAATAGTTCTAATAAAAGTAGCTTTAGGC